TGTGCCGATCCTTGGCCTTTATCTACGACTTACAGAGCTGGCCAAGAGTACTACCCGAATCGTCATACTGAGACAAGTAGTCCTCATAAACCATCATCAATACAAAATCACGCGATCGAAGAAGATTTTCAATAAAATTTTCTATCCAGAAAACTATTTAGTGTCACGAAGAAAAAAACTCATTTAAATTAACAAAAAAGGACTAGTTAGAGTACGAGTTATATTAAAAACTAATTAAGATATTATTAATGAAAATGTTATGTTTTCAGATAACGAAAAGATTTTTTTTACACGACTAGCTTTATTTTATTTCAAATTATTATTTTCTTTAAATGACAAAGTAACTAAAGTGACTCTATACTCATCTATATAAGTAGTAAATAAAAAATGTTAATTTACTGTTTGTTGTAAAAAGCCACTACAAATGACAAATGATATAGTTGGCAGTTTTAATAAGTTTCTTCTAAGAGTGACACTACGTTCTAAGAAATTATCTATTCTACATTAGCGGTAAATACTAAAGTAGATTAGCCAAGTTATACTTAAGTTACGAGCCCTTCATTTCTTGAGGTCTGGGGTTTTTCCATCTACAAATCTGTTCCAAGGTCTAAGTTTAGGAAGCTTTTAGGACCACGTAGAATAATTGGAGTGATTAGTACACACTACGATGAAGTATTCTTAACGTAACTTGGCGCAAAAAATTTACTTGTCTTATATGATATTGAAACTGAAATTTTAAGAGATTCTCCTTCTCTGATCCTCATTCATTGGGTTTTCTTTATCCAAACAATGCAACATTTTTACTGAAGCATTCAAACTATACATAATAAAAGAATGTTAATTAGAACCAACTAATTAACTTACTTAAACCCTTTTCCCTGGGATGCAGGCGTGCAGCGTGGAGTACCACCTCGACCACGTTTCTTCACTTTTCCTCTTGCCGAGGCAGTTGCGATTTACGATCCGATTTAAATTTAGATGATCAAGAAAAACTATAAGTCAGAATGCGCTTCTATTCTATTTGTATGAAACACGGGAATTTCACCTTTAATCATGCTTACTAGTCTGGGCTCTGCAATAAAAAATATGGCTATTATATAGTACAACACCATCTATGTTAGGAAACATCCTCTCGACAATGTCGGGATGCAGTGCCCTATTATTGAGTGTATCGAATCAGTGCGAGATCTAAGTTAATAAAACATAATAGAAGCCTCCATTGACACTTACCTTATGGAACCAATAAAGTAGTAAAAAAAATGGAACTGAGTAGGACACGTTTTCAGGATGTCAAACGGCAGATGGGCAAAATTGCGATGGAGGCCCAAAAGGAGATGGTCAGATAACATCGAGCAGCTTACAAAAACGTGGTGGAGAAAAGCAAGAAACAGGACAGAGTGGGAAAAGATGGGGGACGCCATTTGCAAAGCAAATATACATTGCACATAATATTTATAACAGTTAGTTTATTTTAAAATTTCATAATGTAAATAATATAAACTTAAAAAGATAATTATAAGCCCTTATTATTATATAGAATAAAGGCTTATTATTATTATTATAGTCAAAAAAATATTTAGAATATATAGGATGCTAAAAAGCAACCAACGTAAAAATAAACTCGCACAATTTCTTATTCGTTTTAAAGTCGTCGGTAGTATTATTTTAAATAATTATCAATAATTATCCAATAAATAACGATAGATAAGTATTGAATAAGATGTAAAGAGTTAATGATATAATTTGATTCCGCATTTATAACTAACGGCGATAAAAAATTGTAAATTAGACATATATACAACCTGAAGCCTAGAGGCTTGATATTATCTATAATGCAGTCTACAATACGTTTTGTCGAGCATTTGTTGTTCTTATCTTTAATAAAATGATCGGAATAACAAAAATTCAACGCCTCCATTAACAACGCACTGGTTTTAAAGCCGCGTGCGCTTTCGATAAGGAAAAGTATGTTCATTAATGATTTTTATTTATTGTTTAATTCATGATTTCATTCCACTTTTGGTATCTTTTCAGCTTATTGTAATGACTTGCAAGCACTATAATATTTTGGATAAGTATTATATAAAATGGAAGGCACGTTTGGGCATGGAACGGACACATTTCTGTAACCCATAAGACCACCAAGCGTGACAAGGAAGCTATAAAATCTATACCATCCATTTTGCATCTGACGGAAGTAATTCGCAAAAAAATATAATAACTACTTAATATGCACACAATAAATATTACCAATTGCCTATATAAATAACCCTATGTGTAAAGCCTGTAATAAGAATAAAAAAATATATGAAAAACATAATTCGCAGAAAAAGCCTTCGTCGTTTATTATTTTCTTAGACACTCTTGAATTTAAGAAAGAAACTCAAAATTTTTAATTGAAAAGATTAAATTTAACTTCTTCTGTCTTTTCATTCGTTCTGATTAATTTATTAAATATTTTTTTAGATGTAAAAGAAAATATATTACAGTTTTGAAAAATTAACAACTATAAATTTTTAATTTTTTGCTATGTTGCTTGTACTGTAGCAAACCGTGACATAAAAACTCATAGAGCTATTTATAAGCACTTCTCTTCACTAAAAAAGAAATGTCGCTTTTTGTAATTCATTAAGTAAGTAAGAAATAAAGTAAAATTAATTCATAAGTTTCTGAATGCACAAATGTTTAAAGTCATTCTCTATTAAATATCAACAAACAAGTCAACAGTCAACTTTTAATTTGGAATGTTGTTTTGACATCGAAAAGAGATAGCGAGCTGGTGTTGTTTCTTTTTTTCTATTTTGATTTGTAATTCACAATTGTTTTTTACTACGCAATTAAAACAGTCAATACGCTACAATGACAGGTTTTTTCAACCCACTGTTTAAACACGAAATTACGTGTACACAAAAATGCATACTCGTTATCAAAAGCAAGGTGAAGCTCGATGCATGCATTTTACACAATTCTATTTTTAGCACAATAAATATAATATTACAGTTTACACTTTCAACAATCTCTACGGAAAGTTATTTTTATTTTCGTAAACGGCTTACGATTCGTATCTGTTGCGTAATGAATATCGCTGTTTTCGATCAATACTCTTTCTCGATTTTCGAAATAAAAAAAAACTACATACTTATGTTTTACTTTCTTATTTTTCAAAATATATTTTCTTTCAAGCTTTACAGGTGCGTGGCAGAACTAACTAGAATTTTTAGATCCAATACATATAAAATTATAACCTTAATATAAAACCGTAAAAATTATGTATTAAATAAATCATCTTAATCCTTAACCTCGTTCAGAATATTCAAAAGAAGTTCCTCATTGATAATGATTACTTATATTTAGCTAGAAATTTCTAACATAAAATGTATTTAAATAAAACACTTTAACGGTTTAAAACGCGCTATATTAGTTAAACTTATTTGAAAATGATTTTTAACTTCGGCCCGACGTTTCGGATGCTTTGCAGCAGCCGTGGTCACGGGGACAAAGGAGGTTGTCTTTGACGTCAAAGTAAACACCCTGCCTGCTAGTTAGTCATTTTCAAATAATTATCGCAATATCGCATTTTAAACCGTTAAAGTGTTTTATATAATGTGTACTACTCGCGTAAACTATAGACATTATATAAAATGTATTATAATAAAAAATAAGGAAGTATTGTTCTACAACTAAAACTGTAAGTAAATAACAATCCTTGCTCGCTTTATATAAAAAAAAATAATGAATTACGTTTTATTTAACATATTCCACACTACTTCTACCCAGAATACGTCGTTTTATCTTGATTCTTGACCTATAAACTTTTTTTGCAATAAATCCGGGTATACGGCATATATTTAATTGAAAGTAGTATGCTTGTGAGAATTTTTATTTTTTCTCATGCCGAATGTAACTGGATATTTTCCTGTCAAAATAACCAGACGAACAAGGAATTTTTACTAAATAATTTAGAAGGGAAATAGAAAAAATAAAAGCAATTCCTATTTTTAACTAAAATAGAAAATTAACTGTGAAAAATTGTTAAGCGTAGCGGCCTCGGTGATAGCCTATCAAGGTTTTAGACCGTTAGATGAATCAGCAGAGCTTAACAAACAGCACCAACTTTGAACTAACACCGATTTTGAACTTTTATTTTCAGTAACTTTTTCAGAACACTACTTAGCTCTACCGAACACTATTCTTTTAATTTCGATAAAAACCAAGTCAGCTACCCTCTTTATATGAAATTAAATGTTGTATATTTTTGGCTTTTGTTTGAGTATTTTTCAAATGAAGGATTACAGAACGTGGTCTATCAAAACCTATATATAATGAAGTTTTTTTACGGATTATTCATCGTTCCAATGTTTTGAATAAAATATATATATGGTTATAAAGGACTTGTCAATAGGTACTTTAAGAGTGTTTGAATTGGTCCACCTACCAGTCGTAATTGGGGCTAGGGGCTATAATTGTGCTGTAATGAGGAAACTGACCATTTTGCAATTGCAGGGGATATTATATAGATTAACAAAATTACGATTGTGGGCATTTGCTTCAAGGTAAAATGTGTGGTTGTGTGCGCAAATTCTTTTTTTTAATTAGGAAAAATGTTACCGAAGTGCAATGACGGTATCAAATAAGTTGATAGGTAGGCTTTAGTACATTACTGCAGCGATCGGCAAATACGTATTTTTAGACGTAAATTTGTACCCAGCGTGTTTAAAAAATAAAAATTGAGCATTTTTGACAACTTCCTTCGAGATATATGATCTCGAAGGAAGTTGTCTGAGCTGAAGAACTGTTCGAGCAGAGGCCAGCAATAGTTGTGTGAAAATCCATATAAACCTGTGGTTTTTATGTTACCTGTGGCTATGAATGAAACACATCAATTTCGTTACCTTAGCAACGCGATCACGGTGTAGAGTAGTTGTTATATTTTCGACTTTTGTCTCGTTTTTAATTTTCAAGTTATTTCATTTATATTCGTTATTCTTTAATAATACAAAATGGATTTGCCGGATGAAGAGGAGGTCTTCGGCGCGGCCATCGTTATTGGTTCTGAAACCACTGAAGCCGAGAAGGAATATGAAAAAGTAATTAAAATAAATCGTATATTAATTTTAGATATAAAATAACTTAGCATACAATTAATAAAGTGGTATTCACACGATACCAACAATATGGACTGTTGAAAGATTTTTGATCCTGTATATTAGAATTTTAATTATAGTTCCATAATAGCTTAAATAATAGAGGCCCAAAATATAATTACTGATGACGGAATTTCAAGATAGGAGGTACATTTTTATAGTACCTAGTTAGTAGAAATTGTGATTATAAAAAAACATATTTTCTACTAGATAAATAAAGATAAAATAGTAAACCGACGATGTAATAAATAAACAAACACGTTTATTTTGATTGCATGCACAGTTGTATTAACATATGCTACTATAATCTGCTTAAGAGACCTTCATATTCAAGGAATTTAACATCTACAGGTCCTGGAACAAATGCGTGAGATGGAAGGTCTTAAGTTCTTCAGTGACGTCTACACCAAACTATACGACTCTTACTTTAAACTGAAAGGAGAGAATATATCACACCAGGAGAACATTTCTCATTTAATGGTAAGTTGTTATTGTATATGTACGTGTTATAAAAGAATTAAAAAATAATACTGGATTATCTACGTTGTCACTAATGATCTTGGAGTGCGTACTTATTTTTATTATTCGACATGTTATATAAAGTTGGCTGGAGCCGGAGTAGCCAAACCCCACTTTTATGACTTAACTTATTTATATTTATAGTAATATGATATGATTTTTTCTTTCGAATTTAATGCGTCAAAATAATCCACAAGCACAAACTCCTTGTAAATTATCCAATTATGATATTAAACTGTGTAATGTGCAATTGTCTAATTGGTGTAATACAATGGTTACAGCATAAAGTAAGCCGATATGACGGAATTATAACGGACTATCTGAACGAAATATCTGATACGAATAAAACTGTTGACAAGCTAAGAGCAGAGATAGGTAAGTGGAAATGGGATTTTATTTGCTAGGTGCTAAAAACACTTTGATTATCATTGGGATAATAGTGAGAGGTCCTGGGTTGCAATCATTCTAGCCTAATTGTACTTTTACAAAGAACAACCATTTTTGTTTATTAGAGGAGGCACGCGCACTTGCCGATGCAATGCATGCGCGGGAGTTGAATAGCGTGGAGTCTCTAGAAACTATGAAGAAAACCATAGCGCGATTGGAAAAAGAGCTGGACGCTAGAAAACGAGCAGGAGACGACGATGCGTAAGTGGAACTAGTAGAGTCATAATGTCATTTTATTTGTAAAGGCTGTGAGCCTTTTTATGTCATGAGTTATATAGAAATATTTTTATGATCCCACTTCGAACGATTGCTTTCTATGGAATAGGGGTGCGACTTCAGCTGTGAAGGAAAAAGAAAAATTTGAAAAAGAAAAAGCACGCCTACAAGGTGAGCTAGACGGTGTTAAACTACGGTTGACAAATGCCCTGAATTTCATTGAGGAGTTGGAGCAGAGGAACACAGCTGCTGATGAGAATATCGCAAAGTTAGAAGAACAGCTTGAGGTTAAGAGCTTAGATATAATCTTGAATCAACTAATTTATATTTGGAAATTTTGAAATGAAAATCAAATGTTTTTTAATGGTTTCATAAAATATCTCGAATACTATACAGGAAGCTGACAATAATGCTGTGAGACAAAACAGACTTGTAGACCACTTAAAAGGTGAGAGTGATACACTAAAAAGTGAAGTGGAACACCGAGGCAAAGAGATTTCCAGTCTAAAAGATAAGGTGAGTACTAACTTACAACTTATTGTAAACGTTGCATGAAATTGGATTAATATATAACTTAAAATCAATTTGTACTCTCATTTAGCTCTCGAAAGCGGAAAGAACGATTGATCGCCGTGACAGACAACTCAAAGATATGGGACATAAGCTGGAAGTAGCTCGGACGGAACAAGAAGCAGCTTCAACGAAAGCAGCTCAACTCAGGGAACAGCTCGACTCCACTAACATTGAATTCGACAAAATGAAACAAGCTTTTAATAATACCACAAAAGAACTTAAGGTTGTAAAAGAACTTAACTTAATAACAAAATTAAAATTTGGATTAAGGCTATTATTTCCCTACACAATCTAACTTTATAATTTTTTCGATCATTAGAACGCGACGGATGACGGCAACCGCCTCCGCAATGAAGTGTCGAAGTTGACAAAGCAAGGAGTGCAACAGATGAAAAAATACCAACTTCTCGAACAAGCTAAGGCGGGCGTAGAACACGATCGGTTGAATTTCTTTTATATTACAAATATCAGACGCCGATAGAATTATAAACTGTAGTTTTGAAAGACACAATTTATATCAGAAATAAATGATTCTATGATTTTTGCAGTGAAAATCTAAGGCAGCAAGTGAGTGTTATGGAAAGGGAAATAATGCTCAATAACAAACAGGCTGAATCAGACCGTAGGGATATCGAGAATCTTAATCGAGAAAAAGAAATCTTAAATAAAAACATGCAGAAGATTCAAAGTTGGTAGATTAAAATTTGAAACAACATTTCAAGTTTTAATTATTATCCTAAATAGTTATACAGAATTTTTATCCAGCTTGTATAGAACTTAATACATAATTGTATTTTAGATGAGGCAATGGAGAATCTTCTAGTAATAAATCGTCAGGAACAGAGACGTAAACAGTTGGAACATGAACTGGATGTTAGCGCTTCGCAGGTCAATAAACAAAGACTCATCATACGACAGCTCGAAAAGGATAAAGACAGGTAGGGCTATATGATGCGAATGATAAAAACCTCGCACATAAGACAATCTCTACAATTGTTCCTTTTTTTAGAATGCTCGAAGAAACGATCGCCTTAAATGAAAAGATAGACGAAATATCAGGTACGGATGTAAATTCCTGGACTACTATGGAATGCGCCATATATGTGAATAAAATTGTCTCATTTTTTATTTTAGAGGAAGTACGACTCCGTACAGCAGACATCTTGGATCTTAAGAAGGCCCTTCGCGATGAGACCATCAAAGGACGGAAGCTTTCTGTAGCGCTGGATGCTACACGGGCTGAAAGGAATATGCTGCATAAAAACTATACAGAGGCACTAGATGAGATTCAGGACCTGAAACAGAAGCTAAAAGTAAGCGGTTTGTTCGCTACACGCAACTCAAAAATAGTTGTTTTAAATTCAAGAGACAAAAACATAGAGTTATAGTTGGTTTTATTTGACGCCTTGGTAGCGACAACCGCAAATTAAAGGGTAAAAATGTGAAGTGAAAAATACCCTTTACAGATGTTAGCGTATCAGATAGAGCAGTTAAAAGAAGACATAAGCGGTAAGGAGAGTGGTCTCAAGTCCTGCGAGGGGACTTTGATGAAGTGTAATAAGAAGAATGATCAGTTACGAGCAGAAGTTCAAGCGGGGTTGGTCAAGTTGTCTGAAGCGAAAGCCGACATCACTGCTCTCAGGCAAGAGGAAGCTAGGCTCAACAGAATTTTGCAGGTATTTTTTCCATTTTAGTATAAGAGTGTCGCCTTTGCTTGCATTCTTTTTAAAATAGAGTTCACTTGATGATAGGTGAAATACCCCAGCTATAACAAGATGTGCTGTCGACCCATTCTTGTCTTTAAATATTCGGCTTTTCCATTTGTGGACGGTAGTTCGTGTAGCGCACAGAGTTTTCATATTTCTACGAACCAATTAATATCCAGATTTCCTGAACTCCTACATGTTTCAAATTTCTACTTTTTTATCTCGTAGGTATTTTAATAATATAATTATATAACTAGTAGGAAAAGAGCTATTAATATGAATTAAAGAATTTCGACTTAAGATACATTTCCCTAGCAATTAAAATGTTTTCCATAAATTGGCCTGGACGTGAGGGATTGTGAATAAATACATTGTATCATACTCGGATTGATCAAATTGCATTGTTGTTTTGTGTGAAGTCCCTGTCCCCCGATGACTATGCACTTTATGGCATTTTCGTCACTCGAGTGTATGACACATTAATCGAAGGCCTTTTACCAATTCCTTCCGTGATATTGAGATTCGTAGAATGCATCGAATCTTCCAAGTTGTAATTTATTTATTTACCTCAGTTCCGGGGTTATTGACGTTCTTTTAAAGCATTTAAGGAATATTATCTTAGCAAACTATGTTTTCCTATCTTTTTTTTCATATTATTTGAACAAATACGTTTGTCTGACTTCTTAAGTTGATTGAAAGAAGATGCGCTAACGACTTATTTTGACTTTGCATATTCGGAAATCCACGCACTAATACTGAAACGTAACTAAACTTTACGGCTTTTTCATCTGTGGACGGTGGTTCGTGTACCAGACGGAATTTCGATATTCCTGTCTATAGTTTACGAGAGTAGTACACATTTAAAGTACACACCGTTAAAGTGTTTTATTTAAATTCGATATTCCTACCACTAATTCAATATCCAAATTTCGAGACAGAAGCCCAACATGTTTCAGAAAGGAATAACATTATTTACAACCATATTGGACCTCATATAGGTTTTATTATTATTACATTAATACGTACCCTTGGCAGGAAAGTGATACAGCCCGAGCGAAACTTACGAAGGAGCTAGAGGGTCTAGTGAACGAAAGAGACGTGGTAGGGGCCCAATTGGTTAGACGCAACGATGAAATCTCTCTACTCTACGAAAAGATACGCATACTCGAAGTGACTCTTCACAGGGGTAATATTCAGGATAACTTTTAGCTATAATTTATTAATAATTTTTTATTATTACATCATCATATTTACATCCGTTACGTACTAACGTAGAAATTGCATGATTAGGATTTATATATTATTAGTACATATTTTATATTGAACTTTTCATTCTCTTTATACCTACTCTAAGAAAATGCAGTATTTTTTAAATTCTGTCATTTGTTTAAATTAATATGTGCAGCCTATGAGCCTAGTGGCACTTGCGTGAATTTATAGGTGAGCGGCAATACGAACAAAGAGTAGAAGACATCCGTTTGCTACGATTAGAGATAATACGACTTCGCAAAGAAAAGAACCTCCTCTCGAAAGGCATTGAAAATATGACGGATTTGAGATTAGAGGTCAGATGCTTATCCGTTTTATTTGCGCCGTAAAATTGACATTACATTGTTTGAGATTATTCGTTAAACACAGGTTACGCAGCCTTGTTATTTGTTAAGTTAAATTAATACCAGTATAATAATTGCAAAGCTATAGTTTGTTATTATCGGTGTTCTACATCTCTGCTTTTTCACGATAACGGTTCTTAATTTTGTTGTTTTTCGTTGTATAAGGTCAAGGTAATCAGCAGTGGAATAAAAAAGCATTTTTTTTCTAATTAAATTTTTTTTCAACTTATAGGTCTTCAACCTAGAACGAGAGCTTGGCCGCGAAAGGCTAAGGGTAAGAGCTTTGGAAGAGGCATTAGAGACCCCTCTAAACGTACATAGATGGCGTAAGCTACAGGGAACAGACCCAGAGAGCGTACATCTGACGCAGAAACTGAGGTTGACACAGAAGTAAGTGCTCGAAACATCGACCTAAATATTATGTTGAACCAACAAATGTTCAACAAAATAATTTCGCCCCATAACACATTTTTCTAACTAATTCTAGTTAAAATTAATATTACAAAATGTAAATAAAGGTTTTAAAATAGTATTATAAAAGCTTATTATAAGTAGACTGACTGTCGCAAATTTTTAATTATTGTCGCAATTTTAATAAAACACTCCATCGGTTTAAAAGTATTAGTTAAACTTTTTAGAAAATAATTTTTAACTACGGCCCGACGTTTCGTTAGCTTTACAGCAGCCGTGCTCACGGGGAGACCCGCGGCTACGATGAGTTTAACTAATATATATCGCGTTTTAAACCGTTAGTGTTTTATTTAAATGTGTACTACTCGCGTAAACTACAGACAGTATTTAATGCCATTATTCCTAGGGTGTTAGAAATACGACCAAGCTGTAATTTTCCAAATAAGCTTTATGTACATATTTTTAGGAAGGTATTAGCTCAAAGCGAGATGCTGGTAGCAAAAGATCGAGAGTTAAAAGAGACAAGGAACTTGTACGGTGCCGTCAAAGACATGTTGGCGCTTCAACCGAGCCCGGAAATTCAGGTAACAGCTGTTATATACCTTAGGCAATTGTATATTTAAATAACAAAGTATTGTATCACAATTCAAATATTACAGCAAACCCTGAACAGAACGCAACGAGCACTAGCGCAAAGGACGTCGAAAATGAAGTGCCTAATAGCTGGTACGCAAGTATTATATTTATGGAGTAATTTAACATGTTTTTTGAGAAAAAGTCTTGCTCTCGACCCAAGACCCCTAAATACAAATGTTTTATGAATTACCAAGAAGCAAAATAACCAAAATGCTCATCCTTTTTGAAGTATCCAAACCTATCGGGCGGCATAGATAAAAGAAAAACGTGGTATAGTTCAATAATAAAATGTCGGGATGCATGTATACTCGTTTACAGAGCTAAGTATGCGAGAGAAACAAGTGACGGACCTCCGGTTAGAACTGGATAAGGTGAATGAGGACCTCAACGGTTTCAAGCAGAAGTATTACGAAATGAAGAGGGCGCTTGATGCAGACGAGGCGAGGCGACTGAAAGTGCCCACACCTGTTACTCCAGTTTGAATGCAGATAGTCAACAATATTATAACAAAAGCTGAATGTTTAATGTTACACTGTTTTGAAGTATATTTTTACACATCTGACAAGAACGGCGAAGTGATCCTAAAATGATTATTATGTTTTTATTTCATTTTCTTCGAAAGTATTGCAACTAACTGTTAAGAACGTGTGCAGAAATGTGTTCATAATTTTAACTATTGTGCCAAATATTTTGATCTCACATTTACAAAGTTTTTGACAGTATATTTATTTTTAAAGGTTAATGCTAATTGTAAAAATCACACTTGAATCGTATGATAAATGATCTTACGTCTAGATCTGCTATTTATATCGTATTATATTAATACGTTCCATGGGTAAAAATAAATAAAACACAGTAATAATTAATCCGAAAACAATAGTTTTATTTAAGAACTTTTTCACTTTCTCATAAAATATACACATTGTTTTTGTCATTAAACTAAACTGTAAGTAGATACTAATTTTAAATACCAATTTCTCGTTCGGATCCACCAGAGATTTTGGCCCGCTATTGCGTCTTTATCTTACTATCGATTGGTGTTCGCTCATGTACAAATTACTTAAACGCTATTTAGAAAGAAAAAAAAATCAAAAATGAAAAGCATGTTTTTGTACATTCTCAAAATAGAAAAACGCAAGAGCTTCCTGTTTTCTTAAAGTGTGATGATATTCCTACAGTCGTTCGACTTATAAAATAATACGAATGCATACCTCGGAGCGGGCGTTTTACAAATGCTATCAAATGCTTAACCAAGCGTTACATTCAATCATTACCTACGCTGACGAGACAAGTTAGTTCGTACGAAATTATTTCTAGTGCATTATAAAAGAGCAATCAATACTGTTAATTTTAACATATTGATCCGCTTGGACTATTACATAAGACATGTAAAAAGGTTTTTTGTACGATGGTAATAGTATCCAGTCACAATTCATAGTACCCAGTGTAGTTGTTGTTAAATAACAAATTGTCAAATATAAGTAAATTAGAATGACTGTTTTAATATTGTTGCACTTGTCTCTGCAGCGTCGAATAAACTAAGTGCACAGAGCCACAAAATAATTTTCAAAAAGAAAACTATGTTTCGAACATATAGCTTTGTCGGGGATGGTTGGAACCCCAGAAGCCATAGAATATTCGCCCGATTGGCCGCCAAACCCAGCCCACATTACGACACGGCAATAAGAGCTTCAATTCTTCTCAGTGGCTCACAGAATCTCAAGGCTCGGAGCCCCCTACGTTTTAATGTCCATACGTTACGTTACCAAATGCAAATACCCAAATTAAATAACTATACGGACCCCCCACATTTACAATAATCATGTTTAGACTTGAATATATCGGGTTCATCTTTCAGGATTCCACACAAACACAATCCACATTGTCTTTTACCACGTCGCGAGTGGGGCCCTGGATGCTATCATTGGGGGCCCCAAATACCAAGCACGATTTCTAATCAAACAGGGGACACCAAACATTCAATAACACGATCCACCAAGTGGGGCCCCGCAGGGCACGCGGGCCTCAGGGGTCCTAACAGTTCTAGCGGCCCGCGATATACACACGTACCGATACATTCTTTGCACTTAACTAAATCAACTATACGTTTAGAGGTCGCACACGTCATTCACTCGATCATTGTCCCGCGCACGTCTCGATCGGTCGGCTTACATTAAAGGGAAGGGTATTTACGGGTGAATAAAACTATTGTTTGTATGTTCGTCTGTGTCCGGTGCGGTACTGTAACGTACTGCGCCTAGTGCACGTCAGAGCTTTCCTGCTTCATTTGATGATTAGCCGGGTCCGATGTGTTAATTGGTGGCTGTAAGAGACAGGCGTGTGATTAATACCATTTCATATTTTACACCATTTATCTGCATTAATCTTTAACTGTTTAACAAAGACATAACTTAAAAGAAAGAGTAAGTAAGTACCAGCGAAATGGGCGGCTGCGGGTTAGAGGGCTGCGGCGCTGGTTGGGGCGGAATAGCGGGCGGCTCATGGACAGCGGTGGTGGAGTGCGCGGCCTGCGTACCGCTGTAGTAGCCGCCGTTCATTCCCTCGCTGCTATACGTGGCCGGCGGCGCACCCGCTATCGGCCCACCGCCCGTTCCACTGCCCGCTAGGAAGTAGTCCTGAAAACGCAAGTCAAGCGTATTAGACTGGTTGGCTTGAGTTTAGTACACAAGATGTCTCATTTGATATGTTATGTTTCAGACCTTGAGTCTTTCGGGTTAACATTAAAGCGTTATGTAGCATTGTAATTACGCTTATTAGATGAAATAATTACTGATTTGCGTTGAATTATTTTGTTCTAGACCGTCGACAGTTATTCTTTCTAATAAGCTACTAAATGCTGAACTAACTAGATTAAATTGGTATAGATATTTTGGCAACTGTACCTTATTGACGCAGTTCCTCAGACAGTCTGGTATACGGCCAACTATAGCTCGCCGGATCTCGGAAGCGGCCATCTCGCGCAACTCCTGCGCCGACGCATCCGAGTAGAATGCCGCGTGCGGCGTACACAGCAGGTTTAGAGCGTCTTTCAGTGGACCCTGCCAAAGTACAATAACAATATTTACACTCTTTTAGAAAAACTTAATTAAATATAAGAAAGTAAAATTCTTTAATTATAAATAGAAAACCTGTTTAACGTGTCCTTTATTTTATTTTGATATATCACCTCTGCCTAGATATTTTACAATGCTTCAAAGTTAAAAACGGAGAAATTGTCAAGGAGTATTAAAGTTAATTACTTTGCATTACTCAAAGTACAGACAGTATTTACTTTACACATTTCAAACTCAACAAATCTATTGCTGTTTTTGAGCACAAGTTTAGAATCTTTGATTAGTTTTGTGTTCTATATAACCTTTGATAAAGTATGTTACCTGAAAGACGTTGAAGGGCTCATTTTCGTGCACGTCCAGTGCAGCGGCGCGGATGCGACCTTGCTTTAAGGCAGCCGCTAACGCCTCATCGTCCACTAGACCGCCCCGCGCTGTGTTCACTAAGAACGCGCCTAAATAACACAATTATACTTAGTAATGTTACTTATTTATGTACTATTATATTATATTATTCTAGAAATGAGTATGGCCTTACCGGGACGCATTTGTTTAATAGTAAACTCATTGATAAGATGATGATTGTGTTCATTTAAGCTGCAATGTAATGACACGCAATCACTCTGGAATAATAGGTCCTGTAACAGAAAATACCAAAATTCACTTTCTTTGTTTAGGTAATCAAGTACTAAAAAAAAAACAAATTTAATATCATTGTTTAGGGGCCGTTCAAGTGTTACGTAAGCAGATTTATTACAATTATTTACCCCCCCATCCCCCCTTGTCAAAAGTAAGCAAAGCTTTTACCCCCTCCCCCGTGCTTACGTAAACATTTTTCAATTAAAAATGTATTTTTTATATTCTAATTATAATTTTAAAAATAAGAAAGTTGATTCAGAAAGTAAATAAATATCGATGACGTAATCATCATCTGGACTCCCCGACCCCCCCATGTCATCAAAAATAAGCAAAACAAAGACCCCCCCCCCCAGTGCTTAATACTTGAACGGTCCCTTATGACTACAGGAATATTGAAAGTCTTTCAGTTGGGTAAGTTAATCATTAACTTACCTGTAAGGTATACACCCGCGTAAGCCCGAGAGATTTCTCGATGCCGTCGGGTAAGTATGGGTCGTAGAAGATGACCGTGAAGCCGAACGCTTTCGCCCGCAACGCGACCGCCGACCCGATGCGACCGAGACCTACAATACCGAGCGTGTCGCCTCGGATGCGCGCACAGCCCGCGGCCGCTTCTCGGACTTGTTCTGGACCTGGAAGGTTGTCATTAGCAGTCAGTTTCAGAAGCTGCTTTCCATTAACTATACTTCGATTGAAACTATTTTATTTTCAAGCCTTTATTTTAATGACTGTTACAATAGAATTAATCAACTATTACATATTTACTAATAATAAGTTGATTGCGGTAAACACGGTATGTCATGGGGTTCTAATCCTATACAAACATGTGGTATAGGTGATATGTTTCAGTAGTACAATGAACAAATTTCTCTCTCTGACAGGACAGCATCACAAACAAATAAAAGGTAATTTTAAACACATAGATATTCATATAATATTAAATAATATGTTGTGAACTTTTAATTCAGATCTGATTATGACAGATGGATGCGTGGAATTAAAACATGCACAAAAATAAACTCTATTCTAATAAATAATGGTAATATACACAAAAAGAAAAAATAAAAGTTCGAATCAATATGAGGCCGCTGGAGACAGAGTAGCCTAACCGCAATTTTATGGCTTGAGTTAAATATTTTCAGTCTAAAAATGTTACACACACACAGTGCAGAGCAGTGACTGACAATTGTTGACATAATTCTTACACAAATTATAATACAAATTAATTTTCGCCAAGGATAATTGCGCATTCTTATTTTCCTCCTAATTAAAAATCATGTTTTTTTTTTCATTAGGCCACTCTGTCTCTAGCAACCTCATATAATGAGTAAAGTAAGGAAGTGTATATAAAAATCCGATTTACCTGTAAATTTTTTGCCATCTCTGACCATATTCGCGAGCCAATAGGTCCGCCGATAAAGGTTCAATATTAAACAGAGCGTCGTGTCTGCTACTTCCTCTACGCCGTAACCAGGCACGTTACATACTGCTATACCTGTAAGCGGATTGTGTCATATCACATATTTAAATTCTCAATGACCTGGAGAATTTCTACTGATTTTGTATCTGCCCTGTTTACAATGTCCACAGCAATTCTATTCATGTCGCAAAATGACTTACACGTGTATACTTAATTGCGGAAAGAAATTGCGACTTAATAGTGTGAACAGTTAATAGCTATAAGAATTCTTGATTAATTGAATAATAGCAGATAGATTGATTGATTCATTATTTATTTTTAGGTATGTTAAATGACTGGTTAACAGAGTTGCCGTCGTCAGTGACAGGGATTCATTTATACTAACTATTTTTACTCCTTATAAAAGTAATTTTTCAAAATTTCCAGCTTGAGGTGGATCTTATAGTTAGTTTTACTTTTACTTGTTGCATACTAATTCGTGAAGAACTTGCACTCACCTAATTCGCCGGCCGCCTTGACGTCAATATTATCGACGCCCGAGCCGATGCGCACGATAATTCTAAGAGCCTTGAACTTTTCGAGGTCCTCCTTGGTGAGAATAATGGTGTGCCACATCAACGCTCCGACGGCCTCGTTCAGAACTTTCTCATGTATCTCGGAGGTGGATTGCGCGTCGCAGAATGCCACTGTTGCGACGTCTTTCAGTATTGGCATTTCGACGGTGCAGTCGCGACCGTCTAGTAGAGCCACTAAGGGCCTGGAAAGAGAAGGTGACAAAATAAATTATCAGTTCATACGTTATAAGTTTATAAATAGGTAGGTAAATGGATTGCCTTATATTATATGTATAGAATGCTAGAACTACAATTGCTCTTCCGTTACATAGGTAATAGTAAAAGGCAAACAAATACGTAATCGTGAGAACACCGGACAAACATAGTATTATGAGTGAGATGACGCATCAGTACGCATTGAAACTCGATCTCCGCGGGGATCATTTCCATTGCAAATTAATTAAGTGGAAGGAAGCGCTCCGACGGCACAAATTGCTATCGACCGAGGAGCAGAGGGCCCTATACGGACCCATTTCGCCGTTACGATGTACGTGCAGTAATTAATGGTATGAAGAGATAGTTCTATCGCTTCGCCACAGTCTATTAACTATGACAATGAAGGGACTGCTATATGTACGACTCACTCAGTCCTCACTGCTTTTATAATGGTCCATAAACATATCAAGTACACTTAAACTGACAATTTATTTAAGAATGTGTCATAAGCAATACTCACAGTAGATAATAAACCGTTTCCTTTATTGTCAATCAAAATTTAGTTACTAAGTAAGACTAAAGTCACCCAGATTTTAATACTTCCTTAACTTAAATCTACACAATACAATGATATAAAAGAAAATTCAACAGAGAATAAGTAAACCTATATTAAGTTTATCTAAGCCATATCAAATATACAAACAGTGAGAAAGAAGTGGTGATTTTCAAATAAAAAGCATAATTTCAATGTTTACAAATGGAAAACAATAATGACAAACATACAAATGTATTATCCTAGAAATAGCTGCAATATCAGATGTCCCTTGTTCATTACATTTTTGGTGAAGTTAACACAGCAGGGCGTTTGTATAGCGATTAGAGAAAGTTAGTACAGCGCGTAGCATAACACGCGATTATTATGTAAACGGACGGAGTTATGAGCCGGATTAAAAGTCAAGTTTCACGTCACTTACTTTGCACTTAGCAAAGCAATCGACAACTCGCTTAGAAATAAACGCAATTTAATGCCATAATATTGTCTTGTCACTGGTGACGGTTTAGGGATATTTAAGGTTTAAGATATATCAGTATGGAACATCAGGTTTGTCTCATTTTAAGGAAATAATCGATAGTTAGTAAAGCGATGACCGGACGCCCTTCACCCATGGCGTATTAATTAGTCCCGACGTCGCCGGGATCCGACTAATAACTTGAAAGTTTCGTCATAGTCCAGTTATTATAACGGCCAGTGAAAGTTTCCAAACGGAAAAGTAATTCAGAAATGGGTAGAGTTTTACAGAAATTTTGCAAACTTCGTCCGAGGGGCGAGCGAAAACAGATTTTGGCAGCGGGGGAAGGACAACCCCTTCTGGCAAGTTTTGATGGAAAGCAAATAGGATTAGCACGAGGAAAGAATAAGTTAAGACAAGGCCATTGGACGCGGCGCGGTTTGTTTTTTTTTGCCAAACATTGTTTTGAGGTTTAACAAAGGTATAGAATGTTCTAATTTCCTCTAGTATAAAAAATAGGAAAAGACTTTATATTTTCTAAAACTTAATACCTACTGCGGTAAGATACATAATATAAACCGTTCAAGCCATTATTCGATTATAATTTTTATTCATTGTATAAATTAGCCGCGCATCATTACGCGCATAAATGGTATCATTGGAAGAACATTTTTTTATGTACGGATTGGCGATTCGTGCTAACTCCGCTTCTGTATCATTAAACCGCTAACTATCCCGTTGAGAAGCTACGCTATTCGCCAGAAATAGTTAAAATTAGTATACATTTATTCAGATTCTACTTCTTCTTGGAATGCTAAATAATTTGTATAACGTGACGTTACCAAAATTGGTTATATATCATAGGATTGTTTTAATACACGCGTTGTTTCAACTTAAAATATAAACGGTAATTTACAACCAACAATAAAACTTTTGGACGTTAGTCCACTGAGTTACCCGCCTAAGAAATTAGCACAACTCACCTCGATTGTAGGGGTCCATTTGCGATAGGTCCCCGAATGCTATCCATGCGAGCTCTCTTTGGCAGCATCTTGCGTTTGTCCATTTAAAGCGGCAGAGCCGCTTTAATTACCGCTTCGCAGCGCGTCACCTGGAAAAGACAATTACACACAATGACACTTAGCTAAAATATAAGCGTACTGGAACTAGTGCCAATCGTAAGGCTACATTTCTTAAAATTCTGAACTGAAAATGTTGTTACTCTGAACAAAGTATAGTTATCAAATCTATTGCAAGGTCATAATATAATCATTAAATTTTAAATTTCAAGAGGATTTTAACGCCAAAATTATAAGTCTCAATTTAAGTTCGTTGTATAATTTATGTATGATTAAAATTAAAATATCGTCAAATGAACTCGACAATCACAACTGCTTATGAATGTGTATTTGACACCGATACATAGCCGACTAGCATTGAATCGTAGTCCACTTTATGCAACATATAATAACACACATTTTGGATTATCGCGAGTCAATCAGCGAGCATTAATCCAGTTAGCTACTGTTGCCGTGGCCGGTGTGAACAGTCAACACACGCCACGTTGTCTGGGCACAACAAGCATTGGAACGAGGCCAACGAGAACACTCACTGATAAATAATGATAACTAAATGAATTGTTTAACGTGTTGTATAGTGAACGAGGTTAAAGTCTACCGTCGTTCTTATTATATGAGGTCCCTTTCTTATCTACTTGAATTGTATCTCGGTTATTTGGCAATCATTAATATAATCTCGTAGTTCCTCTACGTGATACAGGAAGTCGGTATTATTAGTCGTCCCCTGGCTTGATTAACCACCCGACTATTTAATTATCCCCATCTAGGGGTAAAAAAATATAAATATACTCACAATATCAATGTCATTAGGGTTGTTGTTGTTTTGAAGTCGGTCGTGACGATCTCGACGCGTTCATTTTATCTGCAAACAAGACGGTCTCTGTAACGAGTACGTTCTAAGGCTTTCATTTTAATATATACATTGTTTGTTTATCGTTGTTAAATATAGACTTGACATTACATTGATTATAATAATAAAAATGTACGATTAAAATTAATATTTATAGTTTTAAGGGCGAATATTAAAACAAACGAAAACATATAACTGTATTAATTATCAAATTTAAAAGATATGTATCGGTGTAAATATAAGTACAGTTACAACGTAAAGAAAGAACAAACAAGAAATGCCGCCAATTAAAATAAACTTAGTGTATTACAAACAATTTTCGTGTAGAGTGTCAGTGTGCATTATAGTTTATCTATATATATATCATATTCATATCTATATGACGAATAGCAACTGAAATGACAAGACAAAGATCAACGACATTGCTAAAATTAGATAAGAATTTAGTTGGAGTAGCAACTTTCACCAAGAATTAAAAATGTATTGTAATGCTTAGAAAAATTATTATTTAATTTACGACGACAGAAAGATCTCGATAATGTCACAATCCTTACTGACAAAATCTAACTGTAGTCAAAGGCCATAATATTATAATAGCTATGGTAAGCAATATGCATATAACACTGCACAAGGAAGTGTCATCGAGCGCACACAGCGCGTTGCTAAGCGGTAAATTCATGTATAAATCATGAATGAGGTAATAAATTATTATATGAGACGGACAAACGACTTCAATGCGAGAGTAAATATGTCGGGTGGGACGTGCTTTATGTTAGCGTAAATAATATCGAGGCCAAGTCGCTAATCGGATACGGGCTTGCATGACTCCGTGGTAATCCTTTGACGTTGTAAAAGTATATATATTACGTATCGTACATCAGTATTAATTCTACTTCGGCTTTGAAGGTAGGATAGGTGCTCATCTTAGCCATGCCGAAGCTTTGCTATTAATCTTTACAGGTTTAGCCTAAGAAGTAAGCGAAGCCTTTTTATAAATGACTTTGTTCCTATCTTTTTGCGCAAATAACCTTCCCCCTATTTACCCACGTATTAAGCGCGCCAAAACAGTTTATCGACACGAATAGGTACCCCCCATGTGTGTCAGTAACAACACTTTTTATAAGAAGTTCGAACTCACGATATACGTGATAGATAATATAAACTATAATAAATGTATTTAGAATTATTACCAGTTTAGTACGTAAACGTCCACAACTGTTCTATATCTGTATCTAAAGCTCTACTTGATTCACAAACCAATGTAGCAACAAAAAATGGTTTTATTGGCATTGCTCTTTTAACATTCAATTTAAAAAGACTCCGTGACGTAAATAAAGCGACGCTACGTAAATTGAATAAATAATTCTCTTTTGCGAGCGCCTTCCGCCATTAGTGTTGTAGTCTCCCTCGATAGGCGTTTCGCCGAAATCCGAATTGTGTTAATATTATTAGATCATGTTTTCCATGTGTATTCCTACTTACATTGAAGCCAAATCTTATTGTAAAGCATGTGAATATCGTTAATTTTCTCGTAATACTGATTTGATGTTTTTAACACATGCCATTTGTCTTCAATGGTTTTTAACGGCACTTTCACAAAAATATTGTGAAGAGCTGTAACTATAATCTAAAAACCAATTTTTTTTTTAGTTTTTTTATTGTCCCTGTTATACCTTAGTAAACAAACAGTTAAAATTAATAAATAAAGGATAACGAAGTACATAAGCACAATCGTATGACACAAGATTGACATCGACTGTTGCTCATGCGATACATTTTTATTTTGAATCTCGTTGCCGTTAACCAACATTCAACTTGAACTGTAGTAGTAGTACTGTAGTGTATGTTGGTAAGGCCGTAATAAACATAGTATCGAAAAAAGAAACACTTTAATGAGATAAGCTATGCATGCTGACATGTATTTCGCTGAAAAAATTCGGACTATAGGGAACAATGAACTATATTGCCTTTCTTAGATCATGTCTTATAAGACGAACTGTTCCACGTATGTATTTTAGTAAACTGTCACTGAGTGTTCGCCATATAACATGACCGCTATGATAGAATCATGACAATAAAAGCGGATTGTTAGTTTCCTCGTCCGAATGATTCGTGACTATTTGTGATAACTTATATGAAAATAACGTTCGACTTTCAACTCGTCACGAGACCTCGGCAAAATAAATTCGTAACATGTAATCGAGCACATACTTTAGGAAATTCACGAACTTCGGCATACACACAATAAAAAAAAGAACGTGGATTCCATTTAAGTGGCCGACATTTTCTTTTGAAAATCAGTGAAAGAAAATATATATAAATAAGATAAATTCCATTGTTTTTCACATTTAGATAGTTCTAAAATTAATCTTATTAGACCTATTTTAAGAGTTTGGAGTTAATGAAAGTATACTAATAATCGACTATTATATTTAACAACCTTGCTTACCAGTTTATCCGTTTCACGATCTATCTAAGATCACCGCTCCATCGGCGCACCGGCGCCGGCGCCTCTATGGACGCACACAATTGCAATCCACAGGCACTTGTAACACTTTTAACTGCACTCACACACAGACCGGACACCTTCTCACTTAAACACTATCCACTACGCCGCACCTGTAACAATCAAACAAATATATCACTTAAAAAGCAATAGTATTTTTCCTAACAATTGATGATGTTAATAATAAAACTAAGTAACAATAACGATTACATTTTTGGATTAAACACTATGGGATGATGACTAAACTTACTAAATAATTAATGGCTGTTTGGTTACTTTTTTTAATTAACACCAGTAAAAATATGTACTAAGATATATTGCAAATTCACGTACGCTTTCCAAAATCTCTATATAATACTACAATTTATTACAAAGCATTTGTTTACATTTACCCTAGCAGTATAACGGTGCCGTTGGATTTTACGATAGTAGCGAAACGCGAAATCGACTGGAACCAAGAACAAGGGTACTTAGCGATATTATGGGTACAAGCTTTTAATTTAAGCTGAAGAAGCGTGATATTCAAGAACTTTCCGATAACTTTGTTTAAAGAAAAAGGAAGACTGACATGTTCAAACCAACTATTTCACTCCACTCCCGAAGAGTGGCAACTGGCAGTATCCATCACGACTCAGACCTTTGACCTAGTTACAGTTCGGTAGCTTGCAAATACACGTGCGAGCTAAACCAACATTCACGCTTCATGCAAATAACGCACCCATATTATGAAGATTCTGTAACTATACGATGCGCGGCTTTATCATTGTGAAACGATGATAGACAAGACTCATAAGACAAATGAGAAAGAAAACTGGCTTTTAGAGAACGGGTTTTATGGTGCAACAATCATTGCTTTTTACTGATGGTGTAAATGCCTAATGCACGCCAACGTCAGGCAAAAGTGACGTGGGGAGTCTGGAATCTCTGGAAATTAGGGAGCAGTGTTTGTGTCATTCCATACGTTTTGTTTACGTCTTTTATCTTGGCAACCCCGCACCTCTATGGTTATGGATAAAAGAGAACTAATTGGTGCGTAAAATAATCATGGAAATGCCACAGAGAATGATCGACAAAACGACAACGAAAACGCATTGAAAAGAACACAAGTGTGTGCGCGAAAGCCGAAACAATAGCAGAATCGACAATCGGAAGTCTTCCATTAATTTATGTAAGCCAAAACGGATCCCTTAGAACATCGCCGCGTAGCCGCGAGCCGAAGTTTTAATTGAAAGGCGCGCTGATCGCATCCGGACTTGCCGAGCTGTGTAACAAACTCGGGCGGACATAACAATTATTCTACATTGTTACTGTGATAGTGTCTCAAAGAATGATTAGTAGCTATCATATTTATTGACTGCATTACTTTGTTGCTCACTCATATATACATTTATTTAAAATACTATAGTTTGTTATACACACACATACACGTATACCTCTCTTTATTTCTTTACATTAAAATTTAGTGTTACTAACAAAGTGGAAAACAATAATTATTTGCATAAATAAACACAATACTATATTACGTCTATGAGAATAAATGCTGTGAGATTGAGGATAGTTATGTCGAAGAATCGGACATTCGCCACAAATAGCATTGTGCTTCTAAACAAAGCTAT